ATCATATCTATATCAAGCTTATGATCTATTTCTTTTTTTTTTTAAATATAGAATAATAAAAGTTTCATGAATGTTGCAATGAATTATTGATTTTTTAAAGAATTTTTTCAATATTAATAATATTAATAATTATCAATAATATTGCTTTAACAAATTTTTATATTTATTATAATGTGATATTATAATATGAATAGAATGAATAGATGATAGATAAAGAATATTTGTACAGAGAATATTTTGCAGGATAAGGTAGGATTTCTTATATATTTCTTATNATAAATATATTTAAAATAATAAAATACTTCTAAATCTAAATAATTCTGTTTTCATACAAATATTTTTTAAAGTCAAAACAATTATCTATTTTAATAGCATTCTAAATGGAAATGTATTGCAATTTTGATCAATAGAAAAAAATATGTATTTTTAAGAAGAATGAAAATGAAAAAAATATTTTTCGATTTCGTTCATACAATAATACAAAATGAAGGTAAGAAAAATATTTTGAATTAATTAAAAAGGAAACAAAATTCAATTAAACTCTGTGATAAAGATGATATTTGTGATAAAGATTATATAAAATGTACTGTAACAATGATATATCTTGATTTTGACTCAAAATTGGATTATTAAGAACTTAAAGCATACATCGTTATAAAGAATTTATCACAAGATGGATTTTGAATTACGAAGTACTGAAAAGGATGAAATCAATTCTTATTTGTGCTAAACATGAGTCTTTTCATTGTGTTTATATCTACTATATAAACACAACTATATACTATACTATAGCAACTTTTCAAACATGTGCATCGTTACTTTTATTTATCTATTCTAATTACAGTTTTAGGATATTCGCAAATTAAAAAAGTGAAATTGAAGAAGAAAAAATTATAGAATATGAATATGTATATTTTTTTAATTTTTTAAGATTTGAATCGGTTTCGGCAAAATATTTTTAATGTTTTTATAAACTTATAAATAAAATAAAAAATTTATTTCAAGATTTTCATAAGATCTTTTATAGATAAAATCAAAAAAAAAAGTTTAATATTTTTAATAATTTGGATATTTTTAATAATTATGGAGTTAAAAATTTTTCTGTGAAAACAATTTTTGTAAAAATCTAAATTTTAAGATTTGATGATATAATTGATGATATAATATTTGATGATATATTTTAAACAATGACGAAATTTAAAAAAATGATAAATTAAACCATCTCTATTTTTGTATGAATTGTATAAATGAAACATATAAACATATTTCAATTTCACAAAATATTAAATGTGAAATTAAAAAATGATTGATTTGACATTGAATGATTTAAGTTTTTGATTTAAGTTTCTGTTCAAGCATTTCGTTTCTGCACATGTAGATGGCATTCGATATTTTATAATTAATCATCGAAAAAAACAAATGTTAAGTAATAGTTAAATTAAGAAGTTTTCAAATAAATTATTAATTTTTATTTTATAATTTGTGATTAAATAGTAATAATGACTATTAATAATTGTCAATGTTCGCTATTATTGTATTCCAACATATTCGTTAATATTTCAAATATATAATAGTTAATGTATTGTAAATTAATGTAATGATTTTGATAGTAGCACACACTCATTCTTGTTTATAATAAAAAACATGGAACAAAAGTGGAAGAAATTGAGACTTAATTCAAACAGTCATCTTGATTTTTAGTTATATTTAATATAACTTGATTGTAATTGATGAATTAATACAACATTGTAATCTATTAATTAATTTTGCACTCTTTTTTAAAATATGATTTATTGCTTATGATTATTGTTTTTATCATATCATTTTATTCGCGTAATCAAGATAATTTTATGCCTGATATATGATTTCAAATATACTAAATGCAGTACAAGAAGCGGAAGAAACAAGGACAAAGCAAGGAAACAAAACAATGAGTGTAAGAAAGATAGAAGCAGAATGAAAAATGATCGCATTAAGCAGCACAAATGCCAGTAAAACGTCAGGTTACAGATCAACGCGATATTTGCCTCATCGTCGACTTGTGCGGTCGCTCTACGGCAATTTTGTAATTTTCCTTTTTCCCGCCATTCCTTTTATTACGCCTTTATATACATATAGCTTGAACATTGCATTAGCTACGATTTGTCTCATATATCTATCTTTTCTAGTCTCTTTTATTTTATATATATATATATATATATATATATAT